AGTAAGAGACTTAGAATTTTTCACAAAATAGAATGTGATAACTACATTGTTTAATATTTGAGGAACTTTTTCTATTGAAAATATATACCTAAAACACACATCACACACAAATTGTTTTTGTGAGAACCAATTAATAAATGCTAATTCATTCAGGCATATCTGCACTAGATTACTGTTTCATTTAATTGCAGAGGAATTTTCCATTACTAAACTCTCCCTTGCTGATTTTTTTCATTATTTATCTTTTTTTTTTTCTTTTCAGTTTCACTAATAGTGAGGTTGGTATGCGATATTATCTGCTGTTTGTACGTCTTACATTTCTTTTTCATTTTAAATGTTTCCTCATTCTTGCGGCTTCACATAATCTGGGAGAAGCATCATTAAAAACAGACAACATTTTATACAGAAATGATTGAAAATGACTGAGACTGGAATTATCCTGACAGGAGTGTGTTGTCTCTGATTGTGTCTCTCTCATTCCAGACGTGCATGCGTGTGCGTACGCACAAGTGTGTCTCCACTTTGGGGCAATGTGAAAATGTTTTCCTGTGTCTATGAATCACAGATCTAGCCATATAAAGACCGTGCATATACAACTAAGGATGAAGATTATAGGGACCTTAATAAAAATAAATAATGCTCAAATCACTTTATAAGCCTCCAGAGCACAATGAGCATTTTCTTGCTAACTGTTCATGGAAACCAAATCAAGATTATGACACACAGATACCCAAGATCTCAACTAGCTGCCTCCTAGAAGACCAGATCTTCTTTTATGTTTAGAAAAGTAAGTTTGGAGGGGTGGTTAGGGGCTGTGTAGGCACTAAGAGGTAGATATTTTGTGTTCAAAACGATGTGTTTTAAAGCAGAAATTTTATTTTCTAACATTGAATGTCAAATGTTCCATGCACCTATCTTCTTTTTTGAAATAAAGTCTTTCAATTTCTTCTCTGTCCAGCCACCTTCTCTCTCTCATCCCTTCCCTCCCCCGTTCAGCGTCTTTCTTTTTCTCTTCATTTTTTCCCTTTCTTTCTCTCTTGAAGTAAAATGTTCTAGAGGATGTGAATGATTAAGCTGTTTACTTCAAGGTTTAGGTATGAAAAGGCATGTCACCGTAAGTAAAGTTTCACCTTTATCCCCAACTCCATCAATAATTACAAAACAAGGATGACTAGTGACTACTGGCAAATCTTTCTTGCAGTTAGCATTTATAAAAATGATGCCTTTCATTCTGTTCACACTGGCTTCTACTAATTTTGCCTTTCACCAATATTAATTACAAATCAGAGTATCTTGCTCCAAAATGAAATCATCACATAAAGGGACTTTGAGTTCATCTGTAGGAATCTACACCCATAAAACATATCTCACTAGAGAATAGAAAGTTGTAACAATTTTTATATTAGCTTTCCTTTGAAGCAAAATGTCTTAATAATTAAAATGCCACTAGATTAATATTTACTTGTTATCCTTCACTTCCTTTGTCCTCTTCAGAAAAATTAGGTAGAGCCTTTTTGGGGATAGACTGATAAAATTAATTAACTTTCCTTCCATCCCCCCCAAAAAAGTTCCAAATAAATGCTTCCAACAGACATCAAAAAAGTGTCAGTTAGAAATAATTACTTCTTATCAATCAGCGGAGCAATTAAAGTGACAAAGCTTGAAAAGATACTTATCTTAAAACTAATTCACAAGGTAGCTAAATTATCTCCTAATTAACTTGCATTGAGAAGGGTGGGAGGGTGGACCATCTTGAAACAAAGATGAATTGAGGAACCCCAAATACCTCTTTATGATCCTTAAGACTGTTTCCCAGTTTCTAGAGGATCTTATTTTCAACCCAAAAAAAAAAAAAAAAAAAAAAAAAACAACGAAAAGAAAATAATAAACCAGAATTAAAACAAATCCTCCCGAAATACATTTAGCCTCCTTTCCTTCTTTGCAAAACCAAGAGGAGGAAAGCATGGTCAGACCATGGGAAGTTAGACTTACTTGTTCTTAAGTCTCAGTATACCCTTTGAATAACTTATTTTCAGGAGCTGGGAGGTAGGGGTTGCTACAAATCATTTCAAATAACTTTTAATGATTATGGGCTTTCTCTAAACTCTTTTTCATTACTACAGTCTTAATTACATTTTAAAATTTCTACGCTGCATATTACTAACATGCGTCTTTGAATATTTACAAGAAAATGTTTTGCCTTGGAGAATTTTCATTCCTTGATACAACAAAATTCGAGCAGATTTTACGGAACATTCGAACGCCCACCAATGATTAGAATAGTTCACTCTTAATATCCCTACAGAATAAAAACTATAGGGCAGATGAATATCTCTCTTCCAAGCAAGATCAGCAAGAATGAGCCCAAGGGTGAGCCGCAAAGACCGAGGAGACAGTGACCGCGCAGGAAACTTGTTGGAACGTCTGGGGTTTTTAGCAAACTATGAGTCTGGCCTCGCTCCCGCGAAAAGTCGTGCGGTCACCCGCACCCGCGGGACCGCTCCAGGCAAACTTTTAAGTAAGGGCTCTTTGTGCACAACTGAAATCAGAAATGGAGCAGCCTGGGGGAAAAGAAAGGTGCCTAAGTGAAGCTGGTGGTGGTGGTGGTTTTTGCGTGCTGTCTAGTCGTTAGGACTCATAACGACCCGAAGCAGTAAATCTTTATGAGAACAGACTCATCTATCTTCCGCAGAGCAGTTGGTAGTTTCGAACTGCTGACCTTGAGGTTTGCAGCCAAACTCGTAACCCATTATGCTACCAGGTTGTTTTATAAAATAACAAGAGGATAAGCTTGCTTATGAAAGAGCTCTTAATGGATTTAGACAACCGCGTCAAGTAAACTGGTCAGAAACTTTTGGGGTGTCCAATTCAGGTTTGGCAGAGCAACGTTTATATTGAAAACAGGATTCCTAAGCTTTCTGAGCTTTCTTCTGGGTCATCAACATTAAGCTAATTTAATGGAGAAAGTCACGTCTTCTCTTCCTCACAGTTGTATTTCTGTATTTGTTTTGGGGAGGCGAAAGACAAAAACTTCTCTTCCTCCCCCTGCCAGTAAAGTACCTCTGTCCCTGAATCTTACGCAGACGCCTCCGTCTCCAAACCCAAGGGCGATTTGCATCTGAGTTAATAGGAATACAGAGTGTGATCCTTTGAGCCTGTTGCTAATTTAAAATAATGTAAAAATAAATGTTTTTTGTTTTTGTCCTTCCTTCTTTTATTCTCGTTTACTCGAATGAATCCTTCTAGGAAGGAAAGAAGGAAAACAAGCCACGAAAACAAAATCTAGCCAACCTACGGCATCACGTCACTGCCTCTGGTAGCGTCAGAAGGAAAGGGTCCGACTGGACCCCGTAATTTCGAAGTCCGAACGCACCCACTCCTCCTCCTACTACCTGAAAGGTCAGGGGAAGGTCGGGGGGAAAGATCGAGTCCTGGAGAGAAGCCGAAGCGTCAGGAACTGGCGCAGAATCGGATACCCAGCACCTGGCTATGGCCAGCGGGGACCAATTCCAAAGGTCCCCGCTTTACTACGTCCTGTACTGTGCCCGGGTTTAGCTAGAGACTAAAGGGGCTAAAAACTTGTTTTGGCCTCAAAAAGTGGCCAAGGAGCGCGCCTGGTCCCCGGGAGCGGCTGGTTAACCGCACCTAGCAGCCTGCTCCGCTCCTCGGCTTACTCCACCGCACCCAGGAAGAACCGCCTGGCCTCAACTCCACTGGCCCCCGAGGCAGCCCCGCACAGCCCCGGGCGGCCGGAACTGCGGGAGCGCGGTTCTTCGCTGGAAGACAGGGAGGGAGCGTCCTGTTACTGCGATCTCCGACCCTAGAACGAGCTGGGCTGAGAAACCTTCCGGAGGGTGGTCCCAGGGCCCCTCCTAGTAGAGCCTCGGCGCCCCCACCCCCACGCCGGACCCGAGGCTGCGCTGCTCCGCGGAGCTCTGCGGTGCGCTCCACTAAATAGAGATCTCAGCCGCGCGCTGCGCCCGCTCCGACCCTCCTTATTATAACAAATGTCCCGTTTGCCTAGCGGGACTTCATATTCGCCTAGAATTCATCTGAAATATTGATTTCCTCTCACTTCGCCGACCCAAATCGATAGCGCTGTGCCCTGGCCCCATAAATCGCTTTCCCGGCTGCCGGCCCGGCTCCATCCATCACCGCGGGCCGTGCCGCGCCTCCGCCCCGCTGTCCGCAACTAGCTCCGCGCTGGGCGCCGGTGCCCACCGAACCAGCCGGTCCCTACAGGCCTCGACCCCAGGTTCCTTCCCAGCACAGTCCCCACCTGACTCAGGATCGGGCCAGGTGGGGAGAGCCCGCACCGCGGTCGGGGGATGCGAATGTTTTTGAAGGCCTGGGCCCCAGAGCGCTTGAGGAGACAGGCTCGGCCCCGCGGGGGCAGGTCGGATTCACTGCCTGGTGCTGCCAAGGAGGGGGTCTGAGAGCATCCTAGTGCGCTCCAGGATCCAAGGCCCAGACCACTAGCTTCTTTCCGGTTGGCTTGAGAGGTGCGGGGGAGGGGGGTTCACGATCCCGCTGGGGGAGCCCCTGGCAAGGGCTGCGCGCACCCCGGGACTAGAGCACCGAGGGGTTTCTGTTAGACTAGCCCCTGCACGGGCCTGCGCCTAAGAGCACGCAGGATGCCCATAGAATTAGCTGTGCAAGTGTGGTGGTGGTGGGGCTCAAGGGACACCCCGTCGTCCCCCCACGGAAAGCCAGCCCCCTCTTCGTCCCCCCACGGAAAGCCAGCCCCCTCGTCGCTCAGTGTGGTTTGCAGAAACCAAGGCCTGGGTAGAGCAGCTCCACCGGTCTAGGGTGAGCCTAGGGCCCTAGAGCGGAGGTCCCAACGGAGAGAGCCAGGCCTTAGGCACCCTCAGCTGTGTCTCTACACAAGTGGATCCCGCGAGCTCTGAGCGTATGCTCCCCAGTTCCACCGACCCGAGCGCACGCACCGACGCACGGAGGTGGCGCGGGGGCTCGGGGTCCTGGCCGTGGCGCGACCTTACCGGATCTGATGGAGTTGTGAGGCATCGCCTGTGAATCGTTCGCAGCCCACCAAGGGCTCCCGTCTTCCTCACGCTGGTCCTGGCAGCGTCCGCCGCCACACTGCTGCCCTGCACAGACCCAGGGAAAGGGGCATGAGATTCGATGCCTGCCGCCTTAGACCCCCTCCCCATGGTCTGTTCCTTAGGCTTTCATTGAGTGTCTTGAAGAGCGGGGCATTTTTTTAGGCGGACTGGGACCAACCTCAGCCTGGCCTACGTAATACACTGGCTAGAGGCTCTGGGGTTGGGGTGGGCTGTGAAAGCCCCAAGTCCTGTCCCGTCGTTTTATTTCTCTGAGAATCCCCAGCCATGTCCCCTTTAACTTGGAAGGAAAAAGCCTGCCAGGTTCCTGGGACTTCTCCCTTCTCTCATCACCCCTTTCTCCCAGCTAGCTTCCAGATAACCCCTAGGCAGCATACCTGGCCAGCAGCAGGCCCCTAGTGCCTGGATCCGCCTGTGAGGTTGCTCTGGGCCCTTCTTCTCTTCTGGTTCTGAAGTTTGTCCCATCCACCCGGCATCACCGACCGATTTTATCCCGCCGAGGCCCTGGAAGATGGGTCTGGCGAGGCTCGAAGGCCGCGGATTGGCTGGCTGGGTGCAGGGGGGTGCGGGAAGGGGAGGATTTTGCAAGGAGGACATGGCTGAGTGGACTCAGGAGTTAGAAACATTCGCTGGAGCTTCTGTTTCCAGCGGAGATTGGAGAGGGAGGCAGCTGAGCCCTTGCTCAACTCAGGCAGGTCTGGAAATAGTCAGGGAATATGAGGTGGAGACCTGAGGGCCTGAGAACAAGGTGCCTGAGGCTCCTGGTGTCATTGACCACCAGACGTGAGAGACTTAGTCTTTCAGTGACACTCTTTGTACACTCCTTTTACCTGTGCCATTTACCTGGGAAGAGTAAACTTTTTTCCCCCCTCTAAGGTCCTGATCACAGAACTGGAAGCAAGAAGATCCTACTTCTCATCAATGGCGTTCACTTCTTTCAGGGCAGAACCTTGAACAATTTCGGAATCCATTCTTTGGTATCAGGCAGGGTCCACACACTCAGATTATTAGGTTAATAAAAATGATCACAATCTATTCCACAGGAATTCCTTTCTTTCCTCAAACACCTGTAGGACCACCTACCTTCCCTTTGCTCCTTGTGAATTTCTAACTCTGGGAGAAAGGTTCTGGGAAAGGTAGATAGGACCTAGACCTCACCTCAATGTGGAAGATGGCAGGGTTTAGAAAGGCTTAGCTGTTTACCCTGTCTTTAAAGTTGGTAGCAAGGGTTAAGCAGGGGGTCAGGTATGAATCACAAGTGGGAACAAGAGTGTTTGGGGGCAAACACTTTTTCCTCACAGGTTTTATCCTCTGTCCATTGTGAGCAAACGTCCTGGAGAAGGTCTAACATCTTCTCCCTCTCAGTCCTGATCTCTGGATTCAGATGCTCTCTTCAGAGCAACTCCGCAGGGCTGGAGGGGCTATGCTGCCACAGTGGGACTCATCTGGGAGAGGAAGGCTTGGGGTGCTTGAGGAAGCACCTGAGGGAAACTAAGGGGCAGCACCTGAGGGAAACTAAGAGGGAACTGGGATTGCTCAGGGAGATGTTTGTATGTGTGTGTAAAAACACAAATTTGTTGTTGTTAAGTACAACTGAGTCAATTCAGACTCATAGCAACCCTGTAAAGGGTTTCTGAGGAGTGGCTGGTTGATTTGAACTACTGACCTTGCAGTTAGTAATCCAGTGTTTATACTATAGCACCAAAGGTATTTTTCTCTAATTAAAAACAAAAACAAAAAACACTTTTAGTTTTCAAGTTAACTTCTGTCTCCCACAGTCTCTCTTATCTTTCAATTTAACAGAAATGAATCATTTTGTTAAAAAAAATAAAAAGAACATGTCTGTCACTAAATGAATTCTCCACATGTGTAAAAGAATCTAAAACTAATACAATACTCAAAAACTCCACTGCCATCAAGGTGACTCCCAATCATAGTGATACTATAGAACACAGTAGAACTGCTTTTTCAGGTTTCTCAGATTGTAAATCTTCACTAGAGGGGAGCAGACAGCGTCATTTTTCTCCTGAAGAGTGGCAGATGGGTTTGAACTTCCAATCTTGTAGTTAGGAGCCCAGTGTTTATCCCACAGCACCACCAGAACTGGTTACTAAAACAAAATGTTTCTCCCAAACTGTTATTTTAAATGTTCAGAAACTCAGCTTCAATGTCCAGATGCTCCTAAGAGAGGGTCAAAGAATGGTCTGAGGGAACGAAGGCTCTGCTGCCAAGACTGGCAGAGTTGCTGGACAGAAGTGGGCCTAGGTATGCATTCTACCTGCCCTGCTGTGTAGGGAGGCCTGAGAGTGTGGGCACAATGGTACAGGTGCTCTCATTCACACAAATCCCCCTCTACCAGGAAGGTAACACTGAAGGGTGAGCCCTGACAAGCCCTCACTCACATAGTTTGACATCCTCCGTTTCTACCCAGCAAATCCTGGTGTGGCACTATAGGATGAGCACTGGACTGCTAATCACAAGGTCGGTGGTTCAAAGCCACCAATCGCTCCTCAGAAACCCTATAAACGGTCACTATGAGTCAACTTCATGGCACTTAACAAACAATCATGACACAATGCATCGATTCCTGCCAATGCTTTTCTACAGCACCACAAAACAAGTTCACTTTCCCTTTCCATTTTTTTTTTTTTTTTTTTAGGAAAAAGTTTTAAGTGGGGAGGGGCTGGGAGGAAGGCAAGTTATCAAAACTTTCCTGCTCCATTTGTGAGACTGTTTAAAAAAATTAATTTTAATGTGAAACCCGGTTAGACAGGGTTGCTTCTCAACACAAAACATACCCTCACACCTTGAGAGCACCCCTTCCCCAGACTGCAGGTAGCAACCCTTAGACAAAGAGAAGGGGATTCGACAGAACATCCAGGCAGCAGGAATACACTGAGCCCCAGAAGCCCCAGTCTTTCAGCCCAGCCAAGATACTGGTTATTCAGCAGCTCCAAATGAGTCTCTGTAGCATCAGCTTCCTCTGCAGAATGGAGAGTTAAATATGTCTCTCTCTATATATATATCTATATATAGAGAGAATCCTGGTGTGGTGCTGCAAACTTCAAGGTCAGCAGTTCAAATCCACCAACTATTCCTCAGAAACCCTGTACAAAGGTCTCTAGGCATTATTAATTCAACACACTGTGCAATCTCTCTCTTTCTCTCTCTCTCTCTCTCTCTCTATATCTATCTATCTATCTATCTATCTATCTATCTATCTATCTATCTATCTATCTATCTGTCTGTCTGTCTGTCTGTCTGTCTGTCTGTCTGTCTGTCTGTCTGTCTATCTATCTATCTATCTATCTATCAATCAGTATTGTGGAACACTTAA